CTTAAATGATTTCGTTATTTTTAAATTGTCTTGTGTTAGAAAGTTTTTTTTAAGAATACATATATTTGTTTTTATAATTTTGAAATTTTTTTATCACAAAACATAATAAAATCTCTTTAAGAAACTTGTTAAGTATTTATTATAGATTTCAGTAAAAATATATTTATATGAAAAAAGGGTTCTAAAACTTATTGTGACAAAAAAATATTTTTTAAACATTTTCTTAATGAAAAACGTAAATATTAGTATAAACTATTATTTAAAATTTCTTTTGATTTATTTATGGAAAAAAATGTAAACATAGTTAAAGAAGATGTTATAAAAGATGTTGTTTTGATTCATTTTTGCCATGTCATATTTTTTTGAAGTCATGTCATAATAAAATTGGTTAGAGTGATTTTTGTGGTGACATATAAGCAAATTTGAGAAAATTAATTCACAATTAATGTATAAGGAATTTGAGTTGGAAACATCTAAAAGATCGATTATATTATTTGAAGATGCAATAATGCATTTATAAGAAAGATTCGGAAGCTCGAGAGATTCATCCAAATGTTTTTTCAGTTTATTCCACTTCTTGATAAAACTTTTGGTTATTAAACCAAACCATGAAATAATAAAAATAAATAAGATTTATTTATTTTAGATATTTTTATAAGATTTATGTCATAATTTATATTTTTCAAAAAAAATTATCTACAAATTATTATTAAAATAACAATCACAGCTTCCACAGCTTCCATTACGAAACAAATTTTTATTAACATTTAAATTAACAATCACAATATTTACCACCAAAATCTCTGCAGGCAAAAATTTTGAAAGACATTTGCCAAACACCCCCTCTATTTATGAAATGTGATTTCCTCTATTTAATCATGTTTTAACATGCTCTTTGTTTTCATAGTTGAAACTCTACTAGGTTGGCTATTTTCTCTCGTTTGTGTCTATATGTATTATTGACCTAATTGGATCACTTATTAATGATATTTTTTGCTAACAACTTAACATTCTAGTACAAAGTTTCGATTCACCAAACCGGAAATACATCATGAACATACATAACTTCATGTGATAGAGGTCTCACATTACGCGCCAGCTTGTCCGTCTTTGTATATTCTGTCCGTGGAATCTACGAGACGCAAAATGAA